AGCAGATATAGCTTCAGATCACCATCTTGTTGTGGCAACGATGAGACTGAAGCTAAAGAAACACTGGACAACTGGAGAAACAGCATCACAAAAGCTTGATACAGCTTTCCTTAGACATACTGACAACTCAACTCAGCATTAAGGCTAATAATAAGAAATACGTGGAAGACCTAGCAATGACGGCGGAAAAAGCTGGATGGAAATGGAGTATGAGACAGTTATATGACACAACGAAGAAACTAACAGGTATATATTATAAACCAGAGCGACCAGTCAAGGACAAAGGAGGCAAGCCAATCAGTTAGATTCAAAAACAGAGGAACAAATGGGTAGAAAACTTTGAGGAACGTTTGAATAGGCCAGCTCCATTGAATCCACCGGATATCGAAGCAGAACACACAGGCCTTCCTATAGATGTCACCCCACCACTCATCAACATGACCATCAGACAAATTAAGAGTGGGCAAGCTGCTGAACTCGACAATATACCAGCTAAAACACTGAAGCCACACATCGCAGCAACTGAAAACATGCTCCACGTTCTCTTCGGGAAGATGTAGAAGGAAAAAGTGTAGACAAACTGGAGAGAAGCATATCTCATCAAGATACAAAAAAGAAAAGAGACATGAGCGAGTGTGACTGAATTATGAAGACCTCCGCATCTGAAGGAAAGCACGGAATATAATAGTCAGCTTGCATGCAACCAGACGATCTGGACTTCGCAGATCACCTAGCCAAACCTGACCATACACACGAGGAAATGCAGGTCAAGACAACAAGTGTAGCAGAAGCCTCTGGATCAGTAGGCCTCAATATACACAGGGGAAAAAGCGAGATCTTCATATGTACTACGGAGATCACCAACTCAACCAAACTTGGTGGAGAATCTCTGGAACAGGTGTAAAACTTCCACGTACCTATTTGAACAGCATAATCGAATAACGAGGAGGATCCGGTTCAGACGTAAAGGCGAGGATTGGCAATGCAAAAACAACATTCCTACAACTGAAGAATATACGGAAGTCAAAACAGCTGTATGCAAGCCAACATCAAAGTCGATTCATCAATACGAACGTCGAGACTGTCCTACTGTATGAAGCCAAAACTTGGAGAACTACTACAACCATCATCAGGAAGGTACGAGTGTTTATAAACAATGGTCCACGTAAGGTACTCAATGTTCGTTGAATGGATACTATCAGCATCGGTCTACTGTGGAAGAGATCAGACCACGTTCCAGTTGAAAAGGAAATTAGGAAAAGGCGTTGGAAGTGGATAGAACGTACATTGTGGAAATCATCAAGCAGCATCACGAAGCAAGACTTAACTTGGAGTCGTAAAGGAAAACGGAAAAAAGGAAGGCCAAATAATACACTGAAACGGGAATTGGAGGCAGACATGAAGAGGATGAATAGCAACTGGATAGGATTGCCCAGAACAGAGTTCAATGGTGTAGTGTAGTGCTTCGTTAATCGATCGTCTTGATAACCGTTATTATAACAATCTGAACGGTGTATAATATCAGAAGACAAAGGGAAGCAGCAACTACATTTTTATTGATAACTAAAATGGGCTAGAAGGCAGTGAGCACATTAGCAAATGTAAGCAAGCGAAGGAAAGATGACGCAGAGTGGAGATGGCTGGGAAGCCAACTCGTTATAAGCAAGCATTAATCAACATTTATAGTCAGGCTAAAATGAATGACAGACATGTGATAGGTAGGATAAGAAGTGTGCATACACATACGCTCATATAAAAAATACTCAATGTTAATAAGCAAATGATTAACATGATCAAAATATGACTCATAACGTTATAGGTGAATTGGCTTGTCCAGAAACTAGAATAAGCTATGTAGGTGTAATATAGTACACGACGTTACACTACTCCCCACAATGGAGAATGCTGGTGGACGGCCTATGCTCCTCGAGGAGAGGTAATGAGCGTAACGAAGTAATTATTGTAAACTAATATTTTTTTCATTCAAACTTCTTGGGGGCATAATTACTTAAAATTTCTTTTGTGAAGAGCAATACTCCTGTATACAAATATTTTGAAAAATGATGGGTGTTTTGATGAGGTCTTTTATTGGGTACAGGAAATTGTAGTGCCGTAAATCTGATTCCTTTTTGATCGTACGTACTGTTTATCCTCGTATGTAATAAATGACTTTATCCGCGCTAGTTAATAACGGAGTTAAATAAGTCAAATACGAGAATGGATTTAGAATACATATAATTTCTACACTCATTGATCTGGCCAGGGAATCAGGGTGATGAAGCGAATAAAATCGAACGAAGCGAAAATGACATGCAGTGGAGATGGCTGGTAAGCCAACTCGGGAGCGAAGCGAAAGATAATGCGTATTGGAGATGGCTGGGAAGCCAACTCGCTATGAGCAAGCATTAATCAACATTTATAGTCAGACAAAAATGAATGACAGCCATGTGATAGGTAGGATAAGAAGGGTACATACACATGCGCTCATATAACAAGGTAGTCAAGGTTAGTAAGCGAATAATCAACAAGATCAAAATATGACTCATAATGGATAGGCGAATTGGCTTGGCCAGTAACTAGAATAAAGTACATGGGCTTAACATATAAACTGATTTTTATGTAGTAGCGAAGACATAAGTACGGGTAACTTGCAGGACCTACTATTGGACTATCATTCTTATTGTATAACTATTCGGTAACTAGATTATCTATATCTATATTCATCTTATTGTAAGCTTCATTTTGACCCATTGATTATTATTGTATGATTTACTGTTGCTAAGTTATACTCAGTTTATTGATTATTGTCTCCCACGCTTACAGCCTCATTTGGCTTGGTTTTGTACAAATATTATTTTCTATTTTATGGTATGATGTGGCCTGTCTGTCTGATATATAAACAAAGTATGCTTGAAATAAACGATTCGTATTACCGAGGCAGCTATTGGCGTTTTGGACTCAAGTGGACGGGTTAGGCGGATAAGGACGCTAGATTACTCATACTAATCGAACGTCATTGTCACAGTTTGAAGGTCGTAGAAGGCGTATTCTATTGGTGGATAATTTACGCGAATTACGCCCTTGTTAAATTCGTAAGGTCATAACGAATCAGCGACGACCTTGATCAAGTCATAACAATTGGCTACAGCCTAGGTCAAAAACAACAAATTGGAGACGGCTAGGTCAAGTCATAACACTGATACTACTAAATTACCACACAGCCTGTAGTTCCATTTCCCCCAAAATTTCAGACAAACTTTGCTAATGAGTTAATGATATATTAGGCTTTTTGTTTATTGCTTTATTCTACATGACATTATTGAGATAGTTTGATTTTTTATGTTATGGGTAGAGAAGTATGTGATGACTCTGAAAACCAAGAAAAAGATAAACAATGAGTCCAAATGATGATTATGATTCATATAACTCAGCGTATTTAACAAAAAGCCATGACAACCGAACTGATCTTAATCTGTTAGTTTACAAATATCATCAAGTTTCAGTTCAAAAATTATTAGCTTCACTAACCTAGCCCACACATCCTTGTTTGACTAACATAACTATGATTGACATACATAAATCTGACAGTCACTAACTGGAAAATGGTTTGATCTACAACATTCTGAACATCATTCAAACAACTACAGTTTCTCTAATTTGGATCCTTTCTTTAGAGCTATCAAAGTCTTGAGTTTTGTCTAAGAAAACAGATATTGCTTTCATTCGATATTACGCATCCACCTTAGGATGTCAATAACACTAAATTATTAGCCTACAGATTAAACGGATAGAGTGATTATCTATGAACGTTTATTTCTATTTTGAACTTGTTAAATGCACGCTATATAATAATTTATGGAACCCATTTCTTATTCAACAGATATGTATAAGAGTATTTATTTCCTCTCTTTTGACAAACAAACTGCTTATTTGTTTATGTTAGTATATTAACATTTAAAACAAATAGTACTAGTGAATGTTGATTTAATTGCTAAATCGACTTATATTTACTGTCACAGTCTGCACAAAAACAATTTAAATCTGAACGGTATAGCACTATCATTACTATTGTATGGCTCCAAAATCGGAAGACCATCAACATTTATTCGTTCTTGTGAAGTAACAAGGAAGCAACTATAATACGTAATATTATATATCCCCAACGTAAATTTGCCACATACTTTCTCACCATACGTAATGGTTTTTGAGAAATAAACCTACAAACGGTTTGAATTTTCTTTAGAATTTTGTGTTACTAGTTGCATAATAGTAAGTAGTCAGTTAATTCAAATTCTTGATGACTAAAATTATGAACAAGAGGTAAATTCTAGGAAATCTCGAATATGTTAACGAAATAAATGGTCGCTAAAGATGTGGAATCTTCTGACCGTAGACGGATCCTAATTTACTTAATCATTATACTCCTGAAAACACATTTAATATTTACTTCAGTCAAATACAGAAGACATTTCGGTAAAAGTATAATATACTGACGATCTTGTACGACATATCAGCCAGTAAGTAAACCTTGCCTTGTTTTGAACCAAGTAACAAATAAGGAAATAAAATAACAACTTTCATTGTAATAATTAAACATCACAAATCAAATTACCCCTTATAGTAAAGAAACAAAGGCAAGTTTACATACATACATGCATAATAAGAGTCAGGCTAGTGTTGTGAGTTACGTTTATCCCCCCCCCATACAGTTTTCGTTACCAACTGACGTCAGTTACAATGAATAAAGGTAGAGGTTAAGCATTAAGAGCTAAACTAGAGTTTTGAGTTTTCAACACGAACTGACATCTGCAATAACGCAATGCCTTTTACCGATATTACTCCTGTTGTGATAAGAGAAAAATGTAGATAATCCATGCAAGTTTGGACACTAATCAAACTTTACACTCACAAAATATTAACCAGCTGCTCCAGCAATTAATGACGCTGAAGCAAAGCAGTGAATATATATATATATATATATATATATATATAATATGAAAAAAGTCGGATAAAAATTTAATTAAATCGCAGGTAGTATGAGATAAAATATTTTTTCAGGAGAAGGGAGCATAGGAAATAATAGTTACAATACGAACTATTTATTGATACATAACAAAAAGAAATTTAACTTGTAGTGATAAACATGATGAGACGAAAAAAAAGAACAATGAATTATCATAACTACATGATTGTAAAATAATGCTCATTAGCAGTAATACTAGCAATGTGAAAACCATTGGAAAATTTCAGTGAGATAAAGATTGTTATTTGGTTTGAATAAAGAGTAGTCTATAATACTGCTGCTAATTTAATGTTAAACGCTTAACAAAACAAAGTTAAGCAATAATAATAGTAAAAATAACAATAAGAATTAACGCAAATTTGCTTAAATATGCAAAATTTTTAGGGATACGAACGAGAATATTCACTTGATGAATATTATGGAACAATGCATGATCACAGTAGGGCTATTGCACCTAATGAAAAAAAGGAAACCAAACAGTAGACGACTCTTGATAAACAAAGATCAGCCTAATGAAAAAAAAAGAAAAATCAAACACATTATTGTATCGATTTTATCGACAAACTAATGAATAAAAGAATTAATTCATTTACATAATTATATACAGAAAGTAACAGTATTGATATTATTTGTTTATATGTTATCATAAATTATTTATATCTGATGTATCAACAGCTGTAACATCTGATCCTATTAGATAATGATTCATTTGTTCTGCTTTCGGTGTAATTTGTGAAGTTTGCGGTTGTCCTTCTATTTTGACTCTTGTTAAATCAGGTCGAACAGCATTTAAACATTCCCAGCTTATATCCAACGACGATCGACGTCCACGCATCCATGCTACATATTCTTCTAATTTATCATTGCCAATAGCAGTTGTTGCATTATCTTGAAGAAATAAATCATAATAGAAGATTAGTGCGAAAACAAATACGACCAAATAAAAATGTTAAATGTACCGGAGGATATTTAGAAAAAATCCAGTAATTTGAGTTACATCTAATAGAAGTGTTCAGTTTGTCTAGAAATTACTAATGATTTTATTTGCTTAGATTTTTGTGCAGTTGTTTTTCTGGTTACTATTATGATAACTATAATGTGAAAGTGTATTAACACCTTAGAAGCTGTAAAGATGACACGCAACGAAGCTGTTTTTAGTTCAACCAATTATCTATATCAATTATGAAAAAGAACAAAATCTGCTATGTTCTCTGTTGTTACAACCTAGCTACGATCATTGCTCAGTATTCATTGGACACTTTACTCCAATCGACGAGTCCCCGAACAAGAACAGGAACGTAATTATGTTCTAAATAAACAAGATTGAATGAAAGTAGAAATCACAATAAGAAAAAGATTAGTATATTTATGATTATATACAAGATTCTGGAGTCTTCTCCAAGTATCCGCCAGTGCTGATTGGCTAGGAAATGGCCAATCAGTGTGCTCCAATACAATCCTGCACAGGGTATGCTTTAATCCTATCTATATCACGCTAACAAAAGCATAATACGAAAGTAGATTATGATATTTGTATACATAAAGATATTAAAGTCACTAGATCAAGCACAGACATTTTAGTACTTCATAGCAAAGAATAAAAAAAGAATGCTTTCTAATGTGATATTGTTTCAGACTTCAGTTAATGAACTCAGAGCTGTTGAAACATTTCTAGACACTTATGATGATAACTAAGAGTAAACAAAATATGACAAAGGAAAATTGGAACAGAGCATATAACAACTAAAATATTTGACCTACCGATGAAGGAATTAACTTAACCATGTACAAGACAACCTTCAAGAAAATAATAACACCCAGTAGTAACTAAGACGATGAACACAATACAGATTTTACTGCACGCAAACATAGCATTATCTTTATCGATACACTTGTATATTATCTGTGTTATTTTAATCAGAATTTTATCGTCATTTGAATATATATATATATATATATATATATATATATATATCAAAAAATACAGTAACAAACAACTGAACTTACCATGATGAACAGAGTTCACATGACGATAAAAGTCCCAACGACGAACAAAACCCTTATGACATACATTACATTCATATGGCTTTTTATCTAAAATTGCAAATGACAATGTTACTATTAATATTACCATTTTAACAACAACAATAGAGAAAGCCGTTTGACAAAAAAAAACCTGTCATTCTTCTAAACATGACAAGAAAGGAATGGAAAATAAAGATATTTCGTTGAATTTCATATTTATTTGTTTGCTCGGCTTGTCTTTCTAAATACCTTAGTACTCTGTTACATGATTATTTATTTTATTTTAACGAAGCTTATATTACTACTTGAATTTTATCTTGTGCAATAAATTGGCATGTTGCAAGTTTTGGTTTGAGTGAATATATTTGTTTTTCTAAGTTGTCGCTTACAAGGATTTTTGATGTAGAGGTCGTTAATTCACATCGTATTTTAGAAACATCTAAGAAAGATTCCACTGATTAGTAGTAAACAGATTTCCGATCTGTCAATTCAAGTACATTTTGAGTACGTTTATGCTAAACCATAATGGGATCAGTAATCCGACTTATTTTAATATTTCATTATTTATGCTATGTACAAAAAATCCAAAGATCGATTAAAAGTGTACTTTGTATTAGTTCGTTGTGATAATATACAGACGAGGTACAGAAAGATTACAATATATACTATGATCATTAATCTACGAGAGAGTAGAAGTAAATTTTAGCCTAACGCAATCACTTGTTGTACAGATGGATCTTATAATGAACAGAAAATGGCAATTCGGACTAGCTTTAAAAAGCTTGGGGTAAATAATTAGGATTTTTAAGATAATTAACTTATAACTCGGCGTACTAAGCTGTGGGCCATATCTATTCTACATAACCATGTAAACTGAATTAAAATATCAAACTGTGAGATTCAAACTAATAAATAACTGATCAAATGACTACATTACCATGTAAAAATCGTGCTCTATCGGCTTGTGTAGAACTCATCAAAATAGTTCTTTTTTAAGTAATAAATAAAATAACTGTATGTAAACATATTAGTAGTTAAATAATTCTAAGGTGCAATAAAGTTTACGATCAAGGGATGACATTATTTTGAACGATACAATTATTTGTGACAAGAAACAGTGTGATAAACATGAAAAACATCTTACAACGAGGGAATAAAGACGGTAATTCAAGTTTACGTTACAACAATTACTCACCTGTATGTACTTGTATTATATGAGCTTGTAAACTTTGACGTCGAGGATACACTTTGGAGCAAGTTGCACATTGATATTCTTTTGATGGTCTAGAAGGCGACGGAGTTGAAGGAGCTGTATGCAACAGAATAAAACTCCGTAGTGAATATGATTTTAAATAATCTAGATAGTAAGTTAATGACTAGAATATGTTGAGAATATTACTAAGTTGTATGATCATCATACTACCTAATATATATACAGATATACATTGGTTAATCAAACGTTTTTTATATTTACTGAAAAAATCATCGAGTATGGATAAAATGACAAAAAAATTTTAGGACAATAAATTATCCCCATAGCAAATCTTTGAGAAGATTAAACGAATAATTCTGAATTCACTTGAAACTGCAGTACAAAAATCTTATTCAGTAAACTCTGCATAATTATACTGTGCTCGACGGGTGTAAGCTAACATATTATTTGTCGATTCATTATCGTAGTGAATTATCACTGAAATGAGAACATTGATTTTTATCATTCATTAAATTTAATAAAAACTTTTATAAAGTTATGAAAAAGGACTGAGTCGTTTTATTAAAACATAAATATGTAAGATAAATGAAATTTATGGGCAAAACAAAAATTACCAGTAACAGCTATTTGTGTTGAATTAAAGGTTATCGGTTTCACAGGTAAATGACTAACACTAAAAGGAGAGGTGATGAATGTTGCTGAGGTTGTAGCACAATTGGAACGAAATAGTGAATTGGTACTTGTCGGGAGAACTGCTGTATGTGGATTCATAGTAATAGTATTTGCGAATGGAGCAGCTTGTTGTGGTTGAAAGAAAAATGCTGGCATAGGCATATTTACTCCAGGAGCAACCATCATTACCTGTGTACCAGAAGGCATTGCATTTTGAACAGAGCCAGGTGTAGCAATTATAGTGCCCATAGCTAAAATCAAAATAATAATGAACTAATTATCTTTTTTATTTTAAGCGATATAAATAACTAAAACATAAATTTATGAATAAAAGAAATACGATTTTTCAGGATAATTTAACATATGACAACAGTACAAGTAATTTTTTTGAATTTGAAATCAAATATTCCATTTGTTGAACTAAATCTCCTAATTATACGAACCAATATTTTATACACTCAAATAATATAGAAGTAATAGTAATGATCCTGTCAAATTACCTTACAGTATACATAGAAAACTAATAATTCAAAATTATTGCTGAACACATCAATAAGTAGAAATGTTTAGTTGTATTATTTTCTTCTTCTTTTCTTGACTTGAATGAGACAGCATCAAAGATTCTTCTGTATTAACATATTTTACACTGACGATTAAATAAAAATTGAATACAAAAATTTTGTAATAATACGAAAAGACAACTAAGTGATCAGTAACTTAAATAGTTCAACTAATTATCCATAAAACCAATACAAAAAGTTGTATGGAAATGAACGTTGATTTTCTAGTTCATGACTTAAGATATATAAGTACAATTAAATTATTAAATCGAGGCTTTTCAAATCTGTAAATAATTGGAAACAAGTTATTCGTATAAAAAAAATAATACTAAACACATGAAATTCAATGTAATCATTAACTTAACCAGTTAATATATGCTAATGGACAAACTTACGTAAGTTGACTTGTTGAGAATGAGGTTGAGTTTGAAGAACTGTCAGCTGTTGTTGTTGTTCCTGCTGATGATGAATTAATTGATGTTGCTGCTGTTGATGTTGTTCTTGTTGCTGCTGCTGCTGTTGTTGTTGTAACATTTCTTGTATTTGTTGTTGTTCTTGTTGAGTTTGTAAAGTTTGGTGTTGTTGGGTTTGTTGTCGTGGCACCATAAAAGATATTGGAAAAGGAGTCTCTATAATAACAGTTGAAATGACGAATAAATAAAAATTTCAAGTTATTTAAGGAAAACGAAACAAAACAATAACAACCTCTATGGACTAGGATTTTATTTATAATATACATGACTAGATGATCTACGAATGGAGAACTATTCACAGAGTTGTATCAAACTATATAATTTAAAGATAAATGATTGAGAAATAAAAGCCATTGATTACAAATAATAACTGATGAGAGAATATTTCCAAAGAAAAATAAGAAACGTTGTAATACTTCTCGAATTTCTCATTTCGATGTAAACAGTCTAATGACATTCAAAAGCCTAAAGTAGATTAACCACATATAATGCTTACGTAGGTTCCATGTTAAGTACATTATACAAAACGTCTCTAAATAAAGAAAAGACAAATCACATCGAATTCGGATGGTAGATCGATGACGTGTAAGGATGAAAAGAACGATGTACTGAAATAAAGGTCAATGTATCCACTATTTCCACAACAATAAATTGTCATTCAGAAATGGACTATCATGAATAACTATTTCCACATTTAGATGAATAAAATCAGGAAACCTTAGATTTACTCATTGTAAAACGTCTGGGCATAAAACACATTACAAGTAACCACTTTGACATAAGCAGTTGTTGCTAACGTTGTTAGAGCTATTTATTACAAAATAAACTGACAAGTATCAATTAATCACTGAAATTTATTTATTACTGACATTTCAGAAAATGTGTGGATGAATAACAGGATATTCTGGAAAATACTTAACATCCAACTGATAAAATTAGTAGACAGAAAATTTTGTCGTATAACCAGCTGTTGAGGACCTTAGATCCCCAGAACTCATTTGGAAAAGGTCCTAATTTTGTAATTTTATTCTGAAAATTTGAATTTAATGTTCTCGCGCCAAGACCCGCTTAGTTGACCTACAGCTGACATTTCCCACTCGGAATTCCTTGACTGCCACTGGTTGATGGATTATTTTAGTACGCCATTTTGTGGCTCTCCCAAGGACGTTTCTATCATTATATAAATAAGCTTGATTTGTGTCCTTAGTGACCTCGTATGTTCTGGGTGCTTGTAGAATACATTCTTTGAGCTTCATCAAGACTTCTTGATCTGGTTAGCAGGGCCGGGGACAACGAATCGGAATAGCCTATTGTTAGCGGGAAATAAACCGGATTATGGCACATCATATGCATGATCGAGATGGTGCACGCTGATTGGCTAATTCTGAACCAATCAGCTCTGACAAATTATTGGAGAAACATCTAGAGGCTTCTTATGCATATACTTTAAATATATGGACGTTTTTCTAACCATTGATTGCTGTTCATCTACCCTTGTTATTTTAAATACATTTTCGTTCCTGTTCAACGTGTTCTGATTCGGGGTCTTGTCGAGTGTCATTGTATAAGAATACTAAGCAATAGGAATAGCTGGGTCGTTTAGTAGCAAAATAATTATAACACCTACCGTGTCACTGTGTCTTTGACCTTCGTTCTGTTTACCGAATAAGGTGAACTCGTAATAGCCACAAGCATATCACCAACTTAACACCGAAAAATAATTACGAAATACATACGATTGAATGTAATGCACTCGAGTTAACTATATACATTAAGTTACACTTACTTTTATGGACAGAAGCCACATGACGCTCAAAATACCATTTCTGTGGAAACCCTTTATTACATAATGGGCACATGTAAGGTTTGGAATCTATGGCATACAAATAGATAAAATTCAATGATATACAAAGAAAAGAAACTAATGATAAAAATCGTATCGTACAAATAAACATTTGATAACGATGTTGATTAAAAATGGGCAGGCATATAGCTAACGATGTCCACAGCTTTACTAGTCATAGTATCACTGATGAGAAGACAGTGGTATCGCTATAAGAGGTTTATTTATGGGAATGATACTTACTAATAAATTTGCTTTAGCATCAATTTTTCCACTCTGATACGTTAGATGCAACTTGACAAAGTGCCTCATTACCAATCTTGACACAATCATTTAAGAATAATTTGCAAACAACTGATAAATACGTGTACAAGTACAACGTCAAAAAGTGAGCTGAATAAGCACACGTTTTGTTTTGACACTTATTATTTAGGTACTTTCCACACTGTAGTGAATGTTATAAATATAAGAACCCAAAAGACCGAATACATAAAAGGTGCAGAATGTGACTTAATTAATTCAGTATATTTGAAATAACAATAACATTTAATCATCTATGTTTTTAAACCTGAACCCTGAATCTGATGCCTTTATTCCATAGTCATCCTGTTAACTCCTGTATCTGTCGGTATCTCTAGATAAAATATCAAATATAAAAAATATTCATTTTGATTATGGTCAGTACGCTGGTTCACAGAGTGGTACACCATTATGATTAAAGGCATCTGTAAGATGTCAGAAGAGTAATAATAAATTTCGGTATTCCATGTTATGGTAAAATCAAGTCTCATAAATCATCATACTGACAGTCGTAATAAGCTTTATCTGAAAGGTTATAATAATAAACGTTATAGCAAAACTGTTGCAGAATGCAAACGAAATTTGCAGTAGCTAACTTACCACGATGAACTGAATTTGAATGTCTTAACAAATCGCACTTCCGAGCAAACTCTTTAAGACAATCATCACACTGATGGGGTCGTAGACCTAACAAATAAAAATAACGCCATCATGACAGTAAAGCAGATTTTGATGATAAAAAAGAGTTCACATTTCATAATGTAGTGAAGACCTCAATGTTTAGTAACTCAACTGTATTATCGTATTGCAAAACTTATCGAAAAAATCTAACGGTATTGTGAACTCTATTAGATCGTAACATATTCAAAAAAGTCAATAAGAAAGTTTCCACTTAAAAACCTCAACTTGTACTGAAAGTGATTTACGTTGAAAGGACATTGGGATTCCTAAATAATTTCCTCTAAATATCTACATCCATGTATGACACCGAAAACAATGAAAGATGGTCACCCAACATAGTGGATCGATTGAAGTTAGAAATTAATGCGGTTGGATTCCGCCCCACAGCGAGACCAAAGGTCCTGGGGTTCGAATCCCGCGTGGGGATTGTGGATATGTAATGCTGAGGAGTCTTATACCAGGCACCAAGTGCTTCCAGGTTTTCAGTGATGGACCAATTTAGATTGTATTATAATTTCAGTGGAATCCTTTACATTCGTTTAGTAAAATAAAACGTAATGCCGCAATGTACTACGTACTTCAAACTATATTAGAGATGATTACAAGTCAACTGAAATGTAAAGCTCTAGTCTCTCCAAGATAAAAATCCGACAGTAACGCTTACCAGTCTAAAGGCAGCAAATGTAACATGTTAGTCAGATTTCTTCAGCACAATTCCAAGAAACTGATATTCAAAGGTAAATACATAGAAAAGAGTGGTAAAAAGAGAAGAAACTTGACAAGGTGCAAAAGATGAGAGTAGTACTAATTTTTATTTAAGATTTTCCATGGTAAGACTTGGGAAGAATAAACTGAATTTGATGTTTTTTCTAAAGAAAATGGACAACCACTGACAAAATATAGTGCTGAAACATTTAAAAGTAAAAGTTTTTAAAACCTACCTTTATGCAATGCATTTATATGCATCTGAAGATTCTTTTTTTCTGTAAACTGTTTTTGACATAGATTACAATGGAAATCTTTTTTCTCTATTTAATAAAGATATAAAAGTATGCAAATAAATCTTAAAACAAGTTAAAGAAGGATCTATAAAAAAATAAATAAATTTTGACCAAATAAAAAAACGCTAATAATTTTTTGACTTTTGCTGGTAAATGGCCTTTTTGAGCTATTATCATTAACTACTGAAGTGAGAAATACTTTGAGAAACATTAGGAAATAAACAGTTAACTTGACTACAATCAATCGATTAAATAATTACGTACTATACGGAGTAAACTGAATTATAAATACAATGAGATTAATTATCCTATTATTGTAGTTCATTATTAGGTAGGAAAACTGCTTAAAATCGTCGTCAAACGCATCAACTTCATTTCCATTCCGTATAGACTTTGAATAATCTACCTATATGACTAAGACCAAAGTTAAAGTAATATACATGAAGAGGCTATTTTTAACTCACCTGCATGAACTGATTTCATATGCCTGCGCATCACAGACCGCTTAGAAAAAGCCTTTTGACATATAGTGCATGTCACATCACGAATATCTAACAAAGTAGAAAATCATTTTAAAAAATTAGACTTAAAACCAAAAGTTGGTGGTTGAGAAACTTTGAACTAATCGAAAATCTAAAAGATAAAAGGTATTATTAGATTTATGACTCGATTCAGAAAATGAGTATTACGTTAGAGAAAACGTCTATCGAATATGAGTAGAAAGATAAGGACATGAACGCTGAAGTAAATGGAGTATTGTTTTGCAACGAAGTAAGGGAAGACGCTGGGGTAAATGTACTAAATTAGAAAGATATTAGTCCAATAATCTCAGTCATATCAGTATTTGAGGAATTGAGTGGATCAGCAAAACAGAACTAAACACATAATCAGATAACTTAAAGTTAGGAGTAAAGACCACCAAAGCAAACACTCAAGTCTCTGAAAAAGTAAAATCACAAGAACAATGCTTATTAGATGGTTGTTGCCAAGAGATTAATAAAGAGGTAATCGCTCTGAAGACTGATAAGAGGATAAAACAGTAGCTCGAATAAAATTTAACATAATTTCAACCACTAATATTTGCGACTATGCCAAATATTTACCACCTCAGTAACGGTTTGCACATTGCCCTACAAGCTCGGTTTAAAATAGCTGAGTAGAAACCAAAATACAACCTTATATAGAGAAGCTAAAATCTTACATTAATAATTTATCTACACGCCTATCGGTATTATTAACAGCGAATAACTACAACAAGCGTAACTTCCATACAAAAATTTGGGAAAATTAAAGCGTTTAAATCTTGTGAACTCTACCGATTATGGAACATCTCATTCTATGAATGGAACAGGTTTACGTCTGTCTATATCAAAAGAATTCTCTCAGATGCGACACTGCATAGAAACAACAATGAAGACCTAAAAATACGAAACTACTACTCGATTAGTCATTTACTACGTACTAATATAAAGCTTGAACTTAGAATGATAGTATTTATAAGAAAACTTAAGAGATACACGTTACTATTCTACTTTGACGATTTAAACAAATTTGTGGAACAAACTGACTGAAGTTTTCCACGTTTTCAATGTTTACTGTATTGTATTTAGCACTTGCAGCTATTTTCCCATCCATTTAGTGAGTGTTGCATATTAGTGCGATTCTCAACAGAAACTTCATTTTAAGCCCTAACTTTTACCATATATACGTCTTTCATCCTGGATTTTAGGCTGTGCTACTTTGAAATATTCAACAACTTGAATCGCTTGAAATAAGATCTTTCATGAAAGTAGCACTCACCTACTAAATAAACAAAAAATGGATAGAATACATTCAGTGAAGATTGAAACCATTGCAGATACTCTCAGCTAACAAATTCGCAATACGATAAATTAAAACTTATTTGAAAGTAAACTTGTACATTTTAGGAATTTCGCTAATTAATAAACTGTAAGGAAGTTGGTTTTTGTGTGGTTAATACGCTAATACTGCTATAACAATTTTGAGATTATTCAAAAACTTCTATTCATTCGATAAGTGGTAGTTTTGATGAAACTCAAAAGATGAGCAATTATTTGTTATATTTGTGGACTTATATTTTTAAAATGCTAAAGGATTAGAGAGATAGAAAATACTTAACCTACAAATTTTATCTATGAAAAGTTTTCAGAAAACTCTGTGGAGTGTAAAATATGATCTTAAAAAGGAGAAGGGAAAATATAGAAAAAAAACAAAAGCAGGTGTCAAATTGTGTAGAATTCAGCCTGACTACATGACGCAAACCAACTAATGAAAACAGCTACCGTAGATATAACCATAAATATGTGAAATTAACATACAACCTCTCGATTGAACTTTCTCATGTTCCCTTCCCTCTTGAGCCAGATCTCAGCAATTAAGACAAAGGTTTATCCCTTGCTTGAACCGAAGATTAGAAATTAGGAAATACATCAATATTTAAACATTTTTAGAATGTCCTGGGTAATTGACCATTCAGGTTGTACGTTTAGGCAGCTGGATTTTAGACTACATGTGCAATTACTACTGAAAAATCCTTTATTGGTTGGTCAATCGAACTTTTTAAAAATAATCCACTTCCAAACGATTTTGCCTCTGAAGTTAACCATATCACGATTTGCGCGGATTAAGCTGCAGAGGTATAATTGGCTGCCTATTACCATCTGTCCATCTTCGTCGTGAAAAGGATTTCCTTAGACGTAGGCACTTCGTTGATCATTGAGTTATTTATCTCTATTTAGAAGATATGAAGTATACCCAGGGGTAATTGTAGTAGTTGTGCTTGTGCGTCGATGTATTGGACACGAAATTGCATATTTTACAGAATCTCATTAATAGGGGGACGGCAAACAGTGAAGCATTATCCGAAATGACTATGTTCGGAGTGTCATGATGGCTGAAGATCCTGTCGACATTATGAGCAGTGGGATAATTTATATTACAAGTCATTAGGATTACTTCATGCCAATTTCACTTTTATAAACTACGATCATATACATGATGCTGGTAACTAGGGAGCGAAGTTTCTACAAATGCGTTACCACGGCTTGCTTGGTTACTTTCAGAATAGTAGAGGTGTTATTCAGTATGATTAGCAGCTTAGTGATATCCACAGCAATTTCCAACTACATTCGTGACTTTCCAGTCTACCCTCAGCCAGTTTACATAACTTCCTGCTATTACTTTTCGTCGTCCCCCAGTCCCAGGATGTTCAGAATGAATTAATGTACAGATGAACGAAAGGATAAATTTACTACACGACTCGAAGACTACAGGCATTAAGTCTATGACAAAAGAACCGTCTCTTAGTTGATAATAGTTGGATAATTAGCCTTTAAGTAGTTCTGATGACCATAAGTGGTTAACATATTTGATTAATCTTTGCAATAGCTAATCATGTCTTGGCTCATTTTGATATCTGTAACATTTGCTAGTGTGGCTCGAACAGTGTCTATTAAGGAAATTTAGACTTCTTAATTAAATGAACTATATGACAACCATTTCTACTCACAACCGCCCGTGTTCATGAGACATGCGTGACACCGCATCCACTTGATTGAAATACTGGATATGTCGTTAGTGAATCTCAAGGACAGAATTTAATAGGAAGGTAATCGCCTTGTTGAATAAACTAGGGTTCCTATCTTGGAACCCATGATAGTTAGCGTAGGATTGTAATCTGTCACTAAGCAGAAGTGTCTAGCACATACCATTTTATGAAGCTATTTATTGCAAACACTAGAGTTAGTACCTCTTTTTTATTTCTCCGTAGCTATCTCGGTAGTAGATAGTCAACGGAAGACATGCAATGTGAGATCATAGCAGTAAAGCCTTCGCCAGAGAGTTGATCGAGATGATCATTCGTTGTGCATCAAAGATAGTTTAAAAATGAGTAGTTTTCCAACAGTTGTTGAAGAGCATGGTTTAATTCTGATGACCAATTAGTCAATCATAAGCAACGCAGAACCTGACACGTATGTACATCGATTCAAGTTGTCATACGCCATTAACAAAGAAAAACTCCGCCTGTAGCTCCTCTGAGGGTTACTGCCGGTCCCAAGCCCGGGTAAAGGAGGAGGGTTGGGCATGGGGTTAGCGACCCCATCCCGTAGAAAATCAACTCGCTAAAAAAACGCTAAGCAGAAAAAATCATTCAAACCTTTCAAACTCTGCCCTGGGAGTAGAAGGAATAATTATGACGTCTCATGATGAAAGCCGAGTTCCTTCGGAAGTCATGAGGCCGATGCACCTTCTTACAACCAGAGCGACAATTTTTATAGGTACATGGAATGTCCGAGCAATGTGGGAGACCGGAAGAGTCTTCCAAATTGCTGCAGAAATGAGAAAATACAACCTGGAGGTTCTTGGAATCAGCGAAACACATTGGACGCAGGTTGGACAACAACGACTGTCTTCAGGAGAACTTCTGTTATACTCCGGTCATGAAGAAGAAAATGCCCCACATACACAAGGAGTTACATTGATGCTGTCCAGAAAAGCACAAAATGCACTTATAGGATGGGGATCTTATGGACCAAGGATCATCAAAGCCTCCATCAAAAGAAAGAGAGTATTACAATGAACGTCATCCAATGCTATGCGCCTACCAATGACTACGATGAAGACGCTAAAGACCAATTCTACGATAGGCTGCAGTCGATCGTCGAGAAGTGCCCAACCAGGGACCTGACAATTCTGATGGGAGATCTCAATGCTAAGGTTGGAATGGGCAACACTGGATACGATTACGTCATGGGACAACATGGACTGGGAGGAAGGAACGAAAATGGTGAGAGATTTGCAGACCTATGTGCCTTCAATAAACTGGTCATAGGTGGCACCATATTCTCACAGAAAAACATACACAAAGCCACTTGGATTTCACCGGATCACACTACACAGAATCAAATCGACCATATCTGCATCAACAAAAATTTCAGGAGGACGATGGAGGATGTGAGAACTAGAAGAGGAGCTCATATAGCATCCGATCATCATTTGCTGGTCGCCAAGATGAAACTAAAACTCAAGAAGCACTGGACAACGGCGCGGACAACATCACAAAAGTTTAATACGGCCTTTCTTCGAGATGCTGACAAACTCAACAAATTCAACATAGCCCTCAGCAACAGGTTCGAGGCCATTCAAGACCTACTCAATGGAGAGGGGACTACCATGGAGAGCAACTGGAAAGGTATCAAGGAGGCAATCGTTTCAACGTGTCAAGAGGTTCTGGGCCAAAAGAAGCATCATCACAAGGAATGGATCACTGTTGGTACACTGGATAAGATTGAAGCAAGGAGGAACAAGAAGGCAGCAATCAATATCAGCCGAACCAGAGCGGAAAAAGCCAAGGCACAAGCCGAATACACAGAGGCAAACAAGCAAGTGAAGAGGAGCATCAGAACCGACAAACGTAAATATGTTGAAGATTTAGCAACGACAGCGGAAAAGGCTGCAAGAGAAGGAAACATGAGACAATTGTATGATACAACAAAGAAACTTGCTGGAAATTACCGTAAGCCAGAAAGACCAGTGAAAAGCAAGGAAGGCAAAGTAATCACCGACATTGAAGAACAACGAAACAGGTGGGTAGAACACTTCAAAGAACTCTTGAATCGACCAGCTCCACTGAACCCACCCAACATCGAAGCAGCACCCACGGACCTCCCAATCGATATTGGCCCACCAACAATTGAAGAGATCAGCATGGCCATTAGACAAGTCAAGAGTGGCAAAGCAGCGGGACCAGACAACATCCCAGCAGAGGCACTGAAAGCAAATGTAACAGCAACTGCCAAGATACTCCACATCCTCTCCAGTAAGATTTGGGACGAAGAACAAGTACCAACAGACTGGAAAAAAGGACTTCTGATCAAGATACCAAAGAAAGGCGATCTGAGCAAGTGCGACAACTACAGGGGCATCACTCTTCTCTCGATACCAGGAAAAGTCTTCAACCGAGTATTGTTAAACAGGATGAAGGATTCCGTGGACGCTCAACTTCGAGATCAACAAGCTGGATTTCGTAAGGATAGATCGTGCACAGATCAAATCGCAACTCTACGTATCATTGTGGAACAGTCAATCGAATGGAATTCATCACTCTACATCAACTTCATCGACTACGAGAAGGCATTTGGTAGCGTGGACAGGACGACACTATGGAAGCTTCTTCGACACTACGGCGTGCCTGAGAAGATAGTCAATATCATACGGAACTCCTATGATGGACTAAACTGCCAAATCGTCCACGGAGGACAACTCACCGACTCGTTTCACGTAAAGACCGATGTTAGGCAAGGTTGCTTACTCTCACCCTTTCTCTTTCTCCTGGTCATCGACTGGATTATGAAGACGTCAACATCTGGAGGAAATCACGGGATACAGTGGACAGGCAGGATGCAGCTTGACGATTTAGACTTCGCGGATGATCTGGCTCTTCTATCACAAACGCAACAACAAATGCAGGAGAAAACGACCAGTGTAGCAGCAGCCTCAGCAGCAGTAGGTCTCAATATAAACAAAGAGAAAAGCAAGACTCTTCGATACAATACAATATGCACCAATCCAATTACACTTGACGGAAAAGCTTTGGAGGATGTGGAAACCTTTACATATCTGGGCAGCATCATTGATGAACACGGTGGATCAGATGCAGATGTGAGGGCGCGGATCGGCAAAGCAAGAGCAGCATACCTACAACTGAAAAGCATCTGGAGCTCAAAACAATTGTCAACCAACACCAAGGTTAGAATTTTCAATACAAATGTCAAGACAGTTCTACTGTATTGTGCAGAGACGTGGAGAACTACGAAAGGCATTATCCAGAAGATACAAGTGTTCATCAACAGCTGTCTACGAAAAATACTTCGGATCCGATGGCCAGACACTATCAGCAATAAGTTGCTGTGGAAGACAACAAACCAGATTCCAGCAGAGGAAGAAATCAGGAAGAAGCGTTGGAAGTGGATTGGGCACACCTTGAGGAAATCACCCGATTGCGTCACAAGACAAGCCCTCACATGGAATCCTGAAGGTCAACGGAGAAGAGGAAGACCAAAGAACACATTACGCCAAGAAATAGAGACAGACATGAGAAGAATGAACAAGAACTGGATAGAACTAGAAAAGAAGGCCCAGGACAGAGTGGGTTGGAGAAAGCTGGTCGGCGGCCTATGCTCCATTGGGAGTAACAGGCGTAAGTAAGTAAGTAAGTAAGTAATTAACAAAGAAAGATGAAATTGTCAGGCCAAATCTCAGAATAGTACAGGTAGTAACAGAATCAAAAGTGACTAAAATGATTGGGCGTCGAAGATACGATTTAAGAAAGTATGAATTAGTGGAATAAAACATAAAAAGTTATGAGGAATCCAGAATCTCATGGGAGACAAGGAACGGATGCACCTGAACCGTTGCAAACGAATTTGAGCCATATAGTTCAAAGTCACTAACAACTTGTTACGATGATCACGCCGACCCCAATCAGGTAGTCTGCATTCATCTATATGGCAAAGTGAAATTGCCAACTTCCCTTCAGCCTACTTCTACACCAGGAAACATCACCCGTCGAGTTAGGTGGTGGTTTGGCATATGTAACGCATGTCCCAAACACTTCAGTTGATCTGGATTTACTACCGCATCAATCAACTTCCAGCGTTACCTAGTACACTATTCCTAACCCAAACATTGCTTATTTCGTGGTCCCAAAATACACAAG